TTATGATTTAAGGCATGTTCCTTAGTTCAGGAGTGTTGGGCTCTCTGCGTTTGTCTTTCCTGCTTTGATGCGATTGTTTCTTGGGGTTGTCTAGGTGAGGCTTCTTCGGTTGATTATTTGATATGTGTTGTTGTTGGATTTGTTTTGGCCTTCTAAGGTTAATGTACTTTGTTCGGTTGGTTTGGGCTTCTTGTACGCAGGTTCGGTTTATGTGTTTCTTTGGGTTGTTTTGGGCTTTTTCCGGTTTGTTTTTCAGGGTTTGGGGTTCAGGGTTTGGCACTTGTGTGGGACAGTTCGAGATTCCGCGGCAGTCGATTAGGGTCAGGCGACTTTGGATTTTGGGTTTGAGGCATTTTGGATTTCGGGTTTCATAAAAGTTTTATCCCGGTTTACAAGCTAGCTCATGACCGATTTGTCACATCCTCTGGCCCTAATCCCTAAACCCAAAACCCTAAACTCGACACCCTAAACCCCCCAAACTCTGAACCCAAACGCCAGACTCAACATCCTAAACCGACAGAATGCCGAAGCAGTACTGGATCCCTTCCTATTTCCACCCCATGAGCTTCGGTCTCGTCACCCGGTCGGGGCATTACGGCGTTTGAGGACTTTGGGCCCTTCAGGGATGGGGTGGGGGTGGGGGGGGGGGGCTTAAGTGGAGTGTCAGCCTACTTGGAGGTTCATGGGTAGTTATAAGTGGGGTTATAAGTAAGGTAACTATAGTTATAGCCCATATACGGGACTTATAGCCCCACTTATAACCAGCCATGAACCTCCAAGTACTTATCAAGTCCCCCGACATCTCAGCTGCGGGGGTTCGTCGAAGGATGGAGTCGTTTCGAAAGGCACCCCTCCAACCGAGGAGCTGCCCACACCCAACAAGCAGAGGCTCTCGAAAGAAGCGACGCGCATCCTTAAAGCCCTGAGCCGCAAACCCTAAAGGGTTTAGGGTTTAGGGTATACCTTAGGGTTTAGAGTTTAGGGTTTAGGGTTTAGGGTTTAGGGCCTAATAGGGTTTACCTTAAGCCTCCAAGCCCGAAAGAGCCGCACTCGCCAAGGTCTGCAAGACCTGCGTGATGAAGATGGATCATCATTGCCCGTGGATCAACAACTGCGTCGGCATCAACAACTATCGGTGCCCCTCCCGCCTGAGGTTGTAACCCCAAAACCCGTAAACGCCTAAACCCTAACACCCGTAAATCCCTAATTAAGCACCAAACCCTGAAATCCCTAAACCCCTAAACCCCTAAAGCCCTAAGCCCCTAAGCCTCTAGACCCCCAAAGCCCTAATACCCCAGACGTTGTAGCCCTACTTTGCCCTACATGCCTTGGGCCCTAAGTAGGCTTTCGAGGTTTAGGGCTTTAGGGCTTTAGAGGTTTGGGGCTTCGGGGTTTAGGGTTTATAGGGTTTAGGGCCCGAGGTACTTCTGCCTGTTCATGCTCTTCTTGGCCATGCTTGGACCTGAGCTTTTGAGGGATTGCCAGAGCGCTAGAGCCTTGCAGTTCCGTGGATGACTGAAGGAGGGACAGGGGCTTTATGAGACTATATAAGAGGTATATGAGGGTTATATAGGGTATTTGGATTAGGGGTCCCTTCTAGGGGTCCCTCCTGTTGTCCCTTAAATGGATGAAGCCGGAAAAGGCAAAGGCGCATTCGGCCCGAAAGGACCATGGAAAGGCACAGGCAAGTTCGGCCAGAAATCGAAAGGAGCATTCAGGGATGAAGCGTGGAAGGGCACAGGCAGGTTTGGCTGGCCAGAACACAGTCATGACCCTAAACCCCAAACCCCTAAACCTCTAAACCCTAAACTCCCAAAGCCCCTAAACCCCGAACCCCTAAACCCTAAACCCCTAAACCCCTAAACCCTAAACCCTAAACCCCTAAACCCGTAAATCCTAGACACCGCATCCGAGGGGCTGCCTGTACTACACTGTCTTGGGCTCTCGCCTCTTCTTCCAAGCGCTGGCGCCGGCCAGGCCTCCACGAAGACGCCGAAGTTCTCGGCCTTTTTAGGGCCCTTAAGGCTGCTGTGTTCTTGTTAAGAGACGGGTTCTAAGGTTTTGCTGTGTTCTTGTTAAGAGACGGGTTCTAAGGTTTTGCTGTGTTCTTGTTAAGAGACGGGTTCTAAGGCTTTTTACGGTTTTTTGCAGAAGTTAGAAGTGTCTACGCACATGGATCTTAACCTGATTTGGGGCATCTTCCTTACAAGTTGGGCTCTCTGGATAAGGAGCTGCAAGCCGGGTGCTGCCACCTAAACCCTGCCCTAAACCCACAATCGGGAAGTGTACCAAGCTTTAAAAAACCCTTAAATCCTACCTAAAGCCTAAGCCCCTGAACCCTGAACCCCGAGCCCTACATACCGGGGGATGCTGGGCCCCAAGAGCCTTGAACCTCGTGTCTTGAGGGGAGCCGTTGAAGGCTTTCTCACCCAGACCTTCCAAAGTCCCTTAGTGAGGAACGTACCTTAAATCATATGAGGGATCCTACTATGTTTTTAGGTATGTTTTAGGGATTTTGGAAGGTCTGGGCATCTTCCGCGGCTTGTATTCCGGTTGTGAGTATAGTAGCGGTACTGGAGTATACCCCAAGACACTTCTAAGTATTAGGGCCCCTGTTTTCAAACCTTGCACAAAAGCCCTGAGCCCTGGCACCAGGAAAAGGACAATCAAGCTCAAGTTTGAGGACATCCAGCCAGAAGCTGAGCTGAAAAGTAGTACGATATGATATCGTGTGATATGATATCATATGCGCGTGTATTATAACATACTGGTCTGTTGTGGACCAGTATAACATACTGGTCGGTTATAGCATATGTTATATATATATACACACATAAGTCATATAACATACACACACATAGAGAACAGTTATATATATATATATATGTATGTATATATATATACATACATACATCTTGATTGTGCGATCTTGTTATGACTAGACGATGGGGTTTGGGACACGCACACACCTACCTGAATAGGGTTGTTTCACCTCGGAACGGTCGATGCCCTTTGTTTGCACCGGGTAAACTTTTATGTCGATTTTGTGAACTGTTGTGCTGCCGTTTGCTTTGGGGACCCTTTGTTTTCGTGCGTCACGGCGTGTTTCCGTAGATCGTGCTGGTCATGGTTAGGTACATGTTCACTCCAATCGGCTTTGCGTTTTAGCATTCCAGGCACATGGGAACATATGCTGCTTATTCGGGGGTTGGCATGCGCATGTTCATCTTCCGGAGAGTGGCTGGCTCTGTTAAGTGTGCTGCCAGTGGACACATACATTTTTTAGATTGTATCGTTGAAAGAAGCGGGGTTAGGTCAACATAGGGGGCTCGAATTATTGCCAATACTGTCCCGGAGGGTTGCTCACTATAGTCATACTACAAAATACCCCTAAACCCTAAACCCCAAACCCCAGACCCTAAATCCTAAACCCTAAACCCCAGACCCTAAACCCTAAATTTCGCAGCAGCCCGATCCTAAGATAATGGGCTGGTGGCCCTGGTGTGGTCCTGTCTGAGAAGCCGTGTATCTACGAGCCCTTACGAAAAGGCGCAAGAGAAGGAAAAGGTCGGGCTACAGGTGCACCAGTCCCGCCCTCATCGGTTGTTCCTTTGCTGCTAGGCTTTGTAACGACCCATGAGCCCTTACCCTAAACCCTAAACTAAACCCCTTAAGCACACTTCTAGGGCCAGGGAAGCGAACCTTAAATCCGAAAGCGCAGGTGTGTCACACTCTCTTGGCTGGTGAGTATCTGCATCTTCTGTGCGCAAGGGCCCGAGATCATGCATGCGCGTTTGCAGATTCACAATCGAGTTTGCCGAATCTCGAGAATTGGTCAGGATCTGCCTTCTTGGCGGCTTCCACCTGTTCCTTGAATGCACTTGGGTCCCTTGCTACATCACGCTTCCATTGAAACCCTAGGCCCTAACGAAGTCCTTAAAGACCCACCACCCTTAACTTAGCGTACAAATCCTTATTTGGGGCCCAGATTCCACGGATCCTTCTTTAAAAAGGGCCCCAGCATTCCTAAGCAAGGTATCCCAGTGTCTGTCGAAGCGCGCAAAGAATTTAAAGCCAACACATCAGAGTTTCAAAACTCGGGGGTTTCGGATTCAGAGTTTTAATATTGGAGCCTGAATAATTACCAATATTATTTTGGGGGCTCCTTAGTAAAACTATAGTAGAATATACACCAAAACCGTAATCCAATTATTATTAAGGGCCCCTATATTAGTTTGAGTTGGACGTTTTTGGATGGGTGGTGCAGGAGCACTCATGACACTTTGCGTGGCCTTCCGTCAGGTACCTCGTCCTCACCAATCAGACCACCATCGAGTTTCACACGAACATGGCTGGTCGACAGATCGCACGCAAGCGGGGTGAGATACACAGGACCACCTAGCTCCTCGAGAACCCTTAAACGCTAAGCACTACACTTCGCCCTACATCCCTTGTAGAGCCCCCTAAACCCTAAACCCTA